AGTTGATTACATGCTATTATTATTCAGTGTTTTAACTCTATTGCTTTTTTTTAAACTTCTTTTTTTCTTTTTTTATTATTTATTTAATAACCACATCATTAGAAGCATTTCATTACAGCATTAACATATTCAATAACAATTTCCAGAGCAAAGAGGTATCACTTTCAAAACTGGCTGTAAATTTTTAGGTTCACAGTTGAATTAATACAGTTAGTTATACAATGTTGGACTCGGTATAATCCCTATAAGTCATAAAATTGAATGAGGTTTTAACTTTAAAAAAAGATCTCCGTTTCATTTTAAAATATACTGTTTCATATGGAAAAACTCATTTTTAATGCTACTAACACTTAGATGTTTGCACATGCGTCTCTAAACTCCATGTATCTGATTATAACTATTCAGTCGGTTACTTTCTGAGATCCTTGGTACCTGAGCATGGATATAAAGTCATCAGGTAGATTTCAATGGTAATGTTTTTCATATCTACTAATTAACATGATGCAAGTTGATTTCTAACATGTGTGCCATGGTGTGCATACAGACACACACACACACACACACACACACACACAATAATAAATAAATAAATAAATAAATGTAATTAAAAATTTTTTAATGAAATCTACTAAGTGATTTAGGGCATCACTGAGCTTCAAAACATGCCACAACTCCTTCTGCTCCCCCACAGTGAAGCAGTGATACAGGGTGTCGTCTCTGGGGAGACAGCATAGCAACACATTGGGCCTTTCTCAGCAGCTCTACACTCATTACACCAGTAGCAAGTGACTTGACTTCTTTCCTGTCTTAGTCTATTTTCTTTTTTTATAAAATTATTTAATAACCACATACTTAGAAGAAGCATTTCATTACGACAGCTTTGACATATTCAATAACAATTTCTAGAGCTAAGATGTATCTCTTTCTTAGTAGAAGCATTTCATTACAACAGCATTGACATATTCAATAACAGTTTCCTGAGCTAAGATGCATCTCTTTCAAAATTGGTGGTAAATTTTTAGGTTTACAGTTGAATTATTACAGTTCTACAATATTGTACTCAGCATAAACCCTATAAGACATAAAATTAAATGAGGTTTTAACCTTTAAAAAGATCTCCATTTCATTATTAAAATAATTTCATTATCAGTTTCATACAGAAAAAAATCATTTTTAATGCAATTGACATTAAGATGTTCACACATGCGTTCTAATCTCTATATATCTGATTATTACTAGTCACAGTCGGTTACTTTCTGAGCTCCTTGGCATCTGAGAATGGATAGAAAGTCATCAGGTAGATTTCAGTGGTAATGTTTTTCACATCTACTAATTATTTAGGAGCAAATTTTTTATGCTTTGAAGATATGCATTTTTTAATCATTTTTTTTTAATTTTTAATAACTACATGATTAGAAGAAGCATTTCACTACAGCTTAAACATATTCAGTAACACACTCCAGAGCAAGAGTACATCTCTTTCACAAGTGGCTGCAAGTTTCTAGGTTCAC